GGACGCCCACCCCCAGACACAAAGAACCACCAACGCACCGACACCCGAGGGAGTCCGCCACTGGCAGGGGAAGTGGAACCATCCCATATTCAAAGCAATTTAAATCATTTTTATGATACTTTGTCTGAATTTCAATACAGCTGAGATAACCTGCCATGTGATCGGCTCTGTCAAATGCTATAACCTTTGGGTGTGGGTGCGGGTTCTGACTATCATCTGTACTCTTTCATTAAACATGACTTCATAGTACTTGGCCTGGGTTGGGTGCATTGAGAATGTGTGATATCAAGACAGTTTTCAGGCCAGATCATTCACAGCTCCCCTTCTGTCAATGAGTGTTTTCATAATTTTAAGGACATAATTTCTAAAGGCAGACAAGAGGAAGAAGGTTTTTGTTTTTGCAGATGATGTGGCTTCTTATGCCTTCATCTAGCAGTGACCTCCGGCTCACACTGGGGCTGTTTGTAGCCAAGTGCAAAGAGGCAAAGAGAAAGATGCTCAATCACTTTTTAAGTGATTTCTCATATCTACTAATGTGAAAATGTTGTCCCAAGACACTGATGACATTGATTTTGTTTTATTTTCAAACTCGACAGCGTAGGAGTCGACTGTCCCCTTTTGATGATCTGAATCCTTTTCATAAATGTTTTAATCAAAGTTTTATTCACATTAAAGTCTGGATCTTCTACACTGCCTAAGGTGATTAGTGAAGAAAACCTATGTGCTCAGATGATCAACTGCAGGATAATTTGTTCCTATACTTGCTTCTGCTGCCTGTGTTTCCACATAATATACACATGCATATAATAATGATCCTATAGCATAAGTAATTTCACAGTGGTGAGAGGAGAGTCAGCTTTATAAGCATCTCAGTCTCTTGTGAGTCTGCTCACAGATGCACACCGACCCCCAGTGCTCAGCCTTGATACATGCTGGGACGTATGCTTAGTATTTTTGTGCATCATTTCCTTATTACTACCCTGTCTTGAAATAATAAAGTCTGCTTATTTTGAATGAGACAATCCTCAGATTGGGGTGGCAGCGGCTCAGGAAAAAAGTGAGTCTTCTACCAATCAAAAGCTTAGTCATTCATTCCCCAGCTAATCTATTTTGCATGTTGAAGTATTTTTCATGAAGATGCTGCCCCTCTGGTTTCTCCCAATGTGAATGTGTCCACAAATGTTCATCATGGTGTTTAGGTGTTGGGAAAAGAGCTTGTGTGAATGTTTGCATGACTGCATGGATTGGATTGGCTTGCAGTAAAAAAGCACTTTGATTGCACTTTGACTACTTTCAGTCCACTGACAGTCACAACTAAAATGTTGCTCTTATTCTGGACATGTGGTTAATGTGGGTGACTTTTGGTGGAATATCTGCTTCTAGGTAGTTTCCTATATGAATAAATAAAATACTCCTTTGTTCTGTTTTCTGAACCATGCAGCATCGTTTCATGTTGCTGTTCACGTCGTCTGAAAAACAAGATGTTATGACCTCTTAGCAATGAAACATTCTGCTTTCAAATTTCCTCTGAAGTGCAGAGTTTGATGTATTTGAGGTATTTCTTGCAGTGCATATCGCAACCAAGACAACCAAGAGCAGAATTGCCATTTGCTGTTTCTGTGCTTAAGATTTAAAATTAAAATCAAACAGAGACAGTGAACAACGTGAAACCTTGCAACAGAAGATGAAAAGAGAAGATGTGTTTTTAAAAAGCTCAAAATGAGACCAGTGTGACAGGAAGTTTACTTTTGAGTCTCTTCCGTGTTAACCAATCAGATTTCTTTTATGGCCCAACCCAACATGCTCCTTTCACCAACTTAACTTACTGAAAAACCCCGAGAAGGAGCAGTGTCAAGATGGTGGTGTTATGGGTGATATTACTTCTTCTTCATCATGGGAGTAAGTGCTAATTTCTTCTGTCATTTGTCATTTACGTTGAATAGATTTGTCAGGATTTATCAATAATTATGTTAATAATAATTTTAAGATATTCGTCTAAAACAAAATTTTGTTTTTCTTCATTTTGTTTTAACTCAGAT